ACTACAGTCTGTAACTGTAGAACTACAAAGTGCACCTATATAGTAAGTGGAGCTGATAAAATGGACAGTAGGTGTAGATACAAAGAAGTGGTTTTAAAGAAGTGGCTCGTCAGTGACGTACTGAAATTCTGGTGCATTTTACAGAGGATTTTTAGGTAGCTCAGGGAGGAGTACCAGGCACATGTTGATGACTAGGGTTGGGTGATATAACTACTGTACTGCTATATTTAAAACTTCTGAAAAAATTATATTTCAAAATGATGCTGTGTCAAATTTCTGTTGCATATCTGAATGGCAAACTCATTCCACATATTTTAAGTTAGCAGATCCAAACATTTAATTTCAACTCTGTAAACTTTCACCACTAGTTGCTCAACATCACTCACTCAGATTTGAATAACCCAGGAACATCTTCCTTGAAGAAATCATGTTTACCAACGACTTACCCTGTTCAGAAAGCTTCTTCTCTAATCCATATCTCTCTTTCTGTAACTGGTCTCTCTCTGTAGTCAGGTTGGTGTAACTGGTCTCTCTCTGCAGTCATGTTGGTGTCACTGGTCTGTAACTGGTCTCTCTCTGTGGTGAACTTGAACCACAGCACTAAGACGGCAGTCAGCAGGAGAACACACAGCAGCCCCAGACACACTACAGTCAGTCTGTAGCCTCTGATTCCTGCAGTGTAAAATTAGAATTTGACTATATTTACTTCTTTTAGGACCCTTTTTGCATTGGCCATAAATACAGAGGCTACAGGCCTCACAATGAATATTTCCCAATCAGTACAACACTGACTTACATTGTTATCTGTACTGTAATGGTGTTACTTGATAGATCATCACTATTTCTGAAATTAAAAGTGTAAAAGAGAATTTGTTTTGCTACCTGAATGTTGGGTTTGTATGATCCTCTTGGTTCTGGTGTCCTCCATCTCTGTGTTGGGCTTCTGGCCTATAACAGTGTCCGCACTCTCATAGATATCAACCACCATCTCCACACGCTCTCCTCTGTTCAGCTCCTCATTACTGATATCATTACCATTCTGAGACATCTCTGATCTATAAGACTCACTGTGTTTCTATCTGTAAGATCACTGCTGCACAGCTACACTTCTTTGCTTGTACAGTTGATTTATAATCAGTCTGATGGCTTTAGTTAAGGAAGTGACCTGAGTTTTTAGAACTGTCTTAAAATGGCCTTCCTGTGTGTGGTTGAGATTTTGAATATGGCAGAGTTCCTGTGCTCAGTGTCTTTTCCCTTGGTTGGTTCTTAAGCTCAAGCTGCAATAAACTTAGAGCATTATAGTACAAATCTGAGTTTAGTTTCTGTATACACTTTCCATGTCTATATCCAGCAGCGGCCTTTGCACTAGGCCAGGGTTCAGCAACATGCTGCTCTTTTACTATTCTGTTGTGGCTCCACAGCAGAATATGATTTTTAAGTAAACATAAAATAATCCTCCTTCGCAGTAAAATAAAGTTCTGCTGATCGTTCTAACACAGTTTTAACAATAAATGATCTTAAACATTGGACTAATTCATCCTTTAACCCTGAAGGTTGGCTCGCAGACTGCTGGGCACCATAGCAGCACAGATGCCAATCTAGCTAGAAGCTAACAAAAAGGCAAACAAGAAAGATTTAGAGACGAATGGACTTATTTGCATTTATAAACACTCAGCTAGATTCCTGATACTTTTAATCTACAACAAGAAACAAACAGTAAAGTCACAAAGCTGAAGTCAGCTTCTCATTCGCCAGATTCTTGTTAAAAAAATCAAAAACCTGGCGAATGAGAAGCTGACTTCAGCCTCGAAGTTCGAATGTTGAGAGGCATTTTACAAGAAACTATTCTACTTTCATTGACAAGTTTCCTGCTGGAGATGCAAGAAAAGCAGCTATAGCTGAGCTAAAGCTTGAAGCAGAGCAAAGTAAGTTTTTTGTGTTTGTATTACATTCTTAGTCTAGACTAGCACATTAGCACATACTGAGACATATTTACAGCCAAGATGGTGAAACGTTACTTCAATAAAATGGACATCAAATATTGTGGCTCCCAAGGTGGTTAGATTTTTGTTGAAACTTGACAAAATGGCTCTTCTTAACATTGGGGTTGCCGACCCCTGCACTAGGCGAAGATAGGCAGCCGCCTAGTGCCCCCCATGAGCCAAGGGCCCCATGAAAATACAAATTAGATGTACTGGACATGTTGTTCAATAATATATTTTGAAACATACATATATACATTATGAACATAGCTCTTATTTCTGATTGTAGGAATTTTTGTGACGATGAGTATCGGAATGCCCCTAATAAAGTCACTTTGCACTTGCAACCTGCCTCAGCCCCTATGTTACAGTTGGGGTAGTTACTCAAAAAAGTAATCGTAAATTACTAATAACTTTTTTCGCAAACTGTTCTGGGATTATACTACTAATTGCTTCCTGGGAAACAAAAGAAATGGGGGGGATGGGGTGGTCTTTATTTCACTCTCTACCAAAATTATCTCACCATATTGGCAGATAATTTAGCTTGTTTCAAACACATTTCTTAAAACAAGCAATAATATAAGAGAATTTCAGCAGATTGTGAAAAAATATGTATCACACATACTATCTAAGCTGCTTCTGGGTCATGGGGGTGCTGGAGCCTATCCCAGTGGTCATTGGGCAGAAGGCAGGAAACACCCTGGACAAGTCGCCACTCAATCGCAGAGCAGAAAGACAGACATATACATTCACACCTAGGGGCAATTTAATGTGTCCATTTGTCCTGACTGTATGTCTTCAGACTGTGGGAGGAAACCGGCGCACCCAGAGGAAACCCATGCAGACCCAGGGGAGAACACACAAACTCCACATACAAAGGACACTGGTCGTCCGGCCAGGGAATAGAACCCATCTTGTTGTGAGGCAACAGTACTACCCACTGCACCACGATGCTGCCCAAATATATATATTTATAAAACAAATAAAAAAAGATCTGTACTCTGTTCAAGTTATTCTGAAGTTCGCTTTTTGTTTTTTATTATTTAGCTAAACAACCACTAAGCGTGTCCCTGTCTACTTCAGCATTCATGGCATGGAGCACTATAGTCTCAGTACCAGACGCTTGAGTTGGACAAAGACTTGATTTGTCCAAATGTTTGTAGACACCTACTCATCCAATGTTACTTCTGAAATCAAGAGTATTAATAGGGAGTTTGTTCCATTTGCAGCAGTAACAGCCTCCACTCTTCAGGGAAGGCTTTATACTATGTGTTGGAATATTGCTGTGAGGATTTGATTGTGTTCAGCCACAAGAGCATTAGTGAGGTCAGGTACTAATGCTGGATGGTTAGTTCTGGATCACAAACACCACTGAAATTCATCTTAAAAGTATTGGATGGAGTTCCATCACTCCAGAGAACACAGTTCCACTGCTACACAGCAAAATGCTGTGGCTTTATACCCCTTTAGCTGGCACTTGACATGTGGCATGATGACCTTAGGCTCGTGTGCTGTTGCTCCATCCCATTGTATTCGATTGTACTGTACAAGCTGGATGTGTCTGTGTTGGCATAGCAAATTGCACTCACAATAAGGGAGTCTGGATACTTTTGGACATATAATTTATTACATGATGATACATCTTAAAAAGTGGTGATTACTGCCCTCATTACATGACCTTTCAGGACACAGTGTTTCTAATACAAATTACCACCCTTCCTACAAGATTTTTCATTTCTTCTTTTTTTGTGGTCATGACTGCTTACAGTGAACAGCGGAAACACTTCCTGCAAGTCTGAGACATCTGCTCAAAAGTGAAACTTTCTGTTTCCTCTGACATACAGGGGAATTTAGCCATATATACAGAGACATCTGTAATGACCTCACATTCCGAGCCATAAATGTTAAAATAAATACATACAAAACTTTAGGATCACTGTTCAAAAGTGAAGAATAAATGTTTTCAACAAGATAAAACCAGTTTTGTTTAGTCTTTCCTCCACTACATTTTCTCTTCCAATCACTACTTAGCATTCATTCATTATCCGCCATTACCTCGGTCAAGCTTTCAGTTGTTTTTTAGCAGTGAGCAAGCATGTGAACATGCTTTGAATTTGAAGCTCCAGATATTAAAAAATGTACTTGGGGCAGTGGCAAACCATGACTATTAGACTGAGGCCTTCAGCTCGGGCCATAAATGTCAGAAATTGTCAGCCAACTAGCACACATTGGTCAGGAATGGTTTGAGGAACATGACAAAAAGTTCAAGAAATTGCAGAGGCCTCGAAATGTCATAGTCAGTCAGTCAGTCAGTCAGTCAGTCAGTCAGTCAGTCAGTCAGTCAGTCAGTCAGCCAGCTAGCTACCCTGCAGACACAGTTCGGGAATGGATTGTGGAACAGAATGAAGAGTTCAAAGAGTTAGATAGCCCTCAAAATTCCCCAGATCTCAATCTGATCAAACATCTGTGGGACGTAATGGAAGGACAAGTTCAATCCATGGAGGCTCCACCTCGCAACTGGGCAGACGTCTCGCTTTATAGTCTTAAAAACTTTCCAAAACACTCAATTCTTAAAATGAGTAAAATTGTGTTGAAATTCCTTCTTTTATAGTGAACAGCTTCAACACTTTTGAAGGTAGCTGACTAATCTGTAGTACAGGTTAGTATTAAGTGAGAAATTGTCTGGTAATTTTATGGTAAAAAGTTGTAATCACCTATAAATAACAACTGTCTACCAACAAGGTGGTATTAAAAGTCACATAATGATGAGTTATAATAATAATAATAATAATAATAATAATAATAATAATAATAATAATAATTGTGAATAATAGTCACGGTGGTAAATAATTGGTAATAAATGGAAAAATAATAGTAACGATAATAGTAACAAACCATTTTTAAACATTTATTCATAAAAACTCACACCACACCACATGTATCTTTATACATGTTTATCTTTCTTTATAATGACTTAATTATTAACAACTATAAAATAACATTAGTATTTACTTTATTATTGCCAACTTGTCACCATTACCATCAGTAAATTATCATTTAGTAACAAGTTGAAAATTAGTATGTCATTTTTTTGGTAAGTACAACTTGTTACAATAATATTACCATATTATTACCCACTTATTACTAATCTGTAAAGCACAACCGATTGACATCTTACACCTAGAAATCTACTCTAGTATATTCATCTTGAAATGGAAAAAAAGATCTTTTTTTCATCATTTTCTGGCTTGCCAAGTTTTTTATTTTAAGTAATTATTACAGCATTAATTTAAGCCTTAAGAACAAATAAAAGATGTTTGTGAAGATTTAAAGGTAAAGTTTCTGTTGTAATGAGTTTGCAGCTTGTTCATGCCTCCTCGTTTCAAGATTTGTATCTGAGTTTCTAAGAAAATGCTTAAAACAAGATTCATATGCTAATTTTTACTCATTTTAGATTGTCAGATCAAATGTTTCTTAAATTCAGCCACAACACTAAATCAAAGAAACAATCTTTTTTTTTTTGCAGTACAAATCAAAAGATATAGTCAGAACTCAGATGTTAATTAAAAGAGAAGGAATTAAAAAAAAAAAAGTCTTTCACTCACATACAGCAGTTAAGTAAATACTCTCTTCTCACAGATCCAAATATACTCTCTCTCACAGTAATAATTATTCCAGTTCAGTACAGCATCAGGCCCATAGCCAGTTACAACACAAAGTCCTGAACCAGTTGCTTCCCCACGACTCCAGAACCTGAAAGACAGTCAGAGTATCTACTGTGTTTATCAGAACAGTGAGGAGTGAGAGTCTGAAACTGCATAATCACCACAGGTCAGTTCAATGATCTTACCCAGTCGTCAGTGCTGAGCTGTCCACCCATCTCCAGACCCTCTCTCTGTCTTTGTAAGTCAGACCAATCCAAGCCCACTGACCTCTTCTGAACTTATAAATAAAGTCCTGTTGAAGTGAGATGACCACTAACACATTTAACTCGCATTCAACTGCCTATTATAGCAGCAGCAGCAGCAGAAGCTGAAGCTTAGCACAGTCTAATCAGGACCTCAACTTATAAATAGCACTGCTGTGTCCACTCATATCAGCACACACTAACACACCACCACGTCAGTGTTACTGCAGTGCTGAGGATGATCCACCACCCAAATAGTACCTGCTTTCCCACAAGACTCTCACCTGTTCTTCTCTGCTGTTTATGATCAGCAGGTCTGCTCCTCTCTCTCTGCAGAACTGTCTGCTCTCATCCCAGCTCTTCTCCTTAGTAGAGATGTGGTAAAGACTGGAGTTGAAGAAGATCCATTCTTGTTGGCTGATGATTCTCTCTGTTCAGACAGAATGATGAGTTGAGCTTTTTACAGTCCCGTACAGTCCTCAGACATTAAACGTCCTGCTGCGTACCACTGTAATCTAGGTGTGATTCATTTTGCAGTTCCTGTTGGAGCTATATATGGCTATAAACGAGGCAGGCAGGCATCCAACAAGGCTCCAGCACAAGGCACCACAGTAATGCCTGGCTTAACTTGGTGAGTTATGGTGACCTCTTGTGGCCACACATATTAATACATGTGTTGCCTCAATTACACAACTGTTTAGATGCTGTAATTCTCTGGATTATATTTTTAATATTATATAATTGATAGATTATATAATTGTAAATAACAGTTACAATGTATACAAATTCAAAAGGCACTGGTAGCAAGATCCAAGTAAACAACAAGCCAAACTCCAGTGCATAACCAGGACATTTACAACAGCAGGGTGATGAAAAAGATGGCAAAAGTACAGCTGACCCCTCTCACTCTGGACATCACCTCTTCCATTCACTCCCTTCTGCTAGAAGATTCAGGGCCATCAAAACCAGCACTATGCTTTTTTTCCCAGCTCGCACTTTAAACTTCAACTGAAACCAACAAACCTCCCTTACCGTATTACAGTATAACTCTAATGCTTATTTCCACAACTGTATAAATGTGAAATGTTTAGAAACGTCCATATCATTCTGTGATAATCGGCATATAATAGTTAAATATGTCTTCTCAGACCTGCGTATGTATAGATATTCATACCTGCATATGTACAGATATTCACACATCTCTTTAGCTCCTTTCACATTGGCTCTTTATTATTTTTACTTGTTCTTTATTCTATGCTTGCAGTTCTTTTCATATTCAGATATTGGCAGCCCCAAACTGCATCTTGTCCCAGATTGTCCTAGAGACATTAATAGGATGTAAAAGATAACATATGTAAGCACATTTTCTTTGATTTTGCTACAACAGTAGTGATATGTACTGATATACTGTTTGTTATATGAACCTTAGTGCTGGTGTCCTCCATCTCTGTGTTGGGCTCATGGCCTCTTACAGTGTCTGCACTCTCACAGACATCCACCACCTGGTGTTTAAAACTGAAAATAGCCTTCCTGTATGTGCTTGAGATTTGAATACAGCAAAGCTCATGTGCTCAGTGTCTTTTCTTGCAGTTATTCCTTGAATTTATATAACCATATATAACTCGTTTTGTTTGTATTGTACTCCTTACGTATTAACGTGACACACACAGCTTTAAAAAGCAGGTCTGGCTTAATGTTTAGGTTTCAAATGCAAAATCAACGTTATGTGATATACATTTATATGGACAGATAATTCACTTACAACCTCAGAAGGTCAGTTTCTAAAACAAATTCAGTTCCCAGCAGGTAAGAGACAATATACCCATAACTGACTGTTCATACAAACTACACAGCGAATTGCTCCCAAGCTTAAACTGCACAGCTACTGCAGCTTCTACAAATATATGATTCATTCTAACAGATTGGTTTCAGAGTTGAAGTCAGAGTTGAAACCATAAATTTCAAGCTTTTAACTGACTTGGACTTTAGACTAAAATCATTTTACTTTAAGTGACCCTATATCTTAATTTTATTAAAATAAGTAATAGAACATTCCAGTTTTGTTAAAACAATCATAACAATACAGAAACTTTAGCAAATGTGACTGTTTTGGTAGGGACTGTTTCAATCCTGACAATTTCGGCTCATTTTGAGCAGAACTGCTATCCTGTTCATTTCCTGCTCTAAAATGCAGGTGTCCTAAAATAAGGCTCCACCTAAGGACTAAAACTCTTCGTGTTTCAGTTGTGACATGAAAACATTGCAACATAAAATAGCAAAGAACTTTTTGCTTTTTATTATGTACAGTACTTAATATCTTTAAAAGATTCAGAGAATCTGGAGAAATCTCTGTATGTAAGGGACAAAGCCAAAAAATCAGTATTTGCTAGCCATGATTTATGGGCCCTAAGGCATCACTACATTAAAAAGAGACATGATTCTGTAGTGGAAGTCACTGCAAGGGCTCAAACACTTCTGAAAACCACTGTCTATGAAAACAGTTCAGCACTGCATCCACAAATGCTAATTAAAACTCATAAATGCAAAGAAGAAAGCATATATTGTAAGGGTCCAGCCTGCACTGCCGGCTGCCAGCAGAGGGCAACGGCGGCGAAGTGCCATAACTTCAGGGAACTCCAATTCCCAGAAGCCCTTTGGGCTGATTAGGCCCAACCTGACACACCTGTGGACTCCTCTACTTAAGGCTGTGGCAAACGGCAGCCCTTTGTCACACCTTTGTAGAGGGGTGACTGGTATGCACAGCGTGCAAGTGGGTATTTAAACAAAAAGAAAAGAGGGCTGGGAAAAAAACAAGAGTAATTGCCCCAAAATTACTCAAAAAAAAACCCCAAAAAACACAAGAAGGCTTGAGCCACAAATGGCTCCAAGCCATACAAAAGGTGTTTGCTCCACTAAGTGCAAACAAGTGAAACATAAAATTTGCCTTCCCCTCATAATTACAGTGGACGTGTCTTTGTTTTCTCCTTATCTTTTATTTCACGTTTCTGGTTCAGCCTTTCCTGTTCTTTGAGGTGTTTTACCCATTGTGGCCTGTGGTTCCCGGTGGCGCAGCAGTAACTCCACAGACTCCACGAGCCTGGCTCCTGGTCACCTTAACCCCAACGTGCCAAATTCACACTCCATTGCCTCAATAAATTTATTTAACACCCTTTCTCACGTGTTTTCATCTTTGCACCTGGGTCTGCCTCCCTGCCGTCCCCTAACATATATGAACAGGATACAGGAATGCTGCCACCTTCTCTGGCCCCAAGCTCATTTAAAATGGACTGAGAGGAAGTGGAAAAGTGTCCTGTGTTCAAATGAATCAAAATTTTTGGAAATCAGACCACTCAGCTTGTTATCTGAGCACAGTTCAAAAGCCAGTATTCATGATGGTATAGGGGTGCATTAGTGCACATGGTATGGGTGATGTGAGCATCTGTGAGGGCACCACTTCATGCTGAACGATATATACATGCTTTGGCAACATATGCTGCCATGCAGACAACACCATTTTCAGGAAAGGCCTTGATTATTTTAGCAAGACAATGCCAAACCACATTCTGCAAGTATTACAACAGCATGGCTTCGTATTAAGAGTCCAGGTGCTAAACTGGCCTGCCTGCAGTCCAGACCTGTCACCCACTGAAAACAAATGACAAATGAGCCCCTGAACTGTTGAGCCGCTGAAATCCTGTATCAAACAAGAATGGGAAAACATTTCACTTTCAAAACTACAGCAGTGTCTCCTCAGTTCCCAAATGTTTACAGAGTGCTGTTAAAAGAAGAGGTGATGAAACACAGTGGTAAACATGCCCCCGTCCCAACTTTTTTTGGAACGTGTTGTTGGCATCAAGTTCAAAACGGGCACATATTTTTCAAAGAACAATAAAATTTCTCAGTTTCAACATTTGATATGTTGTTTTTGTAGTGTTTTCCTTTAAAAATATGGTTTACATGATTTGCATATCATTGCATCCTATTTTTATTTACATTCTGCACAGCGTCCCAACTTTTTTTGGAAATGGGGTTGTAATTCAAAAACAACATAACCATTTAAGTATAATTTTCACAAGTTGAAATTAGTGGCTGATTACATTAACTCCCAGTGTTTGTAACACAAATTACCACCCTTAAACAGCTTATGTTTTGACCACATCCTGACTCTGATCGAGTGAACATTTCCTGTATGAGTACTCAGTGTTGTATGAATCATTGAGTAGAGGTTCTTCATACATGGCCTCATATTGTTTCCTAAAACAGTACAATATTCATTTTTGTCTTGCTTTAAATAAAAGGCATGTTGTTGTTGAAACTGTTTTTTTCTTGTCTTTATTTCAGTATATGGTTTTAAAAAGGCCAAAAGCAATGGAAAGTAATCAGACTGTATTTTGTTTTGTACTGTTTGCATTTTTAACACAGTCAGTAATACATTTTCCAAGCAACAATCCCAGCACTGCTGACTGAGTGTGACGACTCATATTTGGTAAAGTAAGTAGAATTTTTGACCTTCACAAGAAGACGTCACACTGGACACACCAGCGTAAAAACACCAGAGGAAGCACCACAGGAAGCATCACCAAGGCAACACAGCTAAAAATACCCACAGGTCTGATTCACCTGCGCTTAAATAAAACTTTTTGTTGTTTCCTCTGACAGACAGGGGAACTGAAGGTGTATTAACAAAGTGGCTTCTGTAATGACCTCACATTCTGAGCCAAAACCGTCGAAGTACAAAAGTTTAGAATCACTGTTCAAAAGTTAGAAATGAATGTTTTCAGCGAGATAAAAACGATTTGGTTGTAGTATGACACGAACTGAAGTGAATTCAGTGCAACTTCATTGTTTTCAAATAATTAGTAGAAATCTGTAAAATATCACTAGTAATTGGTAGGAAGCAGGCCCAGATTATCACGTGCTCTGAGGTCTTATGGTGTGTTTTTGAAATCACACTGCATTAAAATCTTCATAAGCCATCAGTGAGCTTTACCACTTTCTTGCTGAGTGGTTACACTAAAGCTTTAACCACACCTCAAGGTTATCTATGCTGAAGGATCTACGTAATGCTGTGCTGCTACATCGCCTGTTGTTCTCTACAGTGGGCTCTTCACCGTGCGACATTGCATATTTAACCATCACTCCTGCAGCCTATGAGACAGCAGTCTAAAGGATTCAGTGTAATGGCTGGTCACCTCGTGTTCAAAGGCAAATTAAAAGTAACATACATCTGTAATCATAAACTGACATTTGTGATTAAGGACGTTTTTGCAATATTCCATCACTGTGATTCAAGTGTTATAAGTGTTGTTTTAAACTACATTGACAGTTATTTAAGGCACAATATTAAAATATTGCATTTTTCCATTACTGGAATAGATAATACACACATAAATACAAATGTGCCCTCAATTACACAGCTGTTCAGATGCTGTAATGCTTGGGAACATATTACTGATCCTGAATAGATTTACTAATGTTGATTCAGTACCATCATCTTCATGGTGATCAGGGATTAACTGTCTGTAATGATGATGATCTTTGCTTGGGGCAGTGCCAGAGTTTTTCTACATTGGTGCTAAAACATATGAAATGAGTGCAGAAAAGTTTCCAAAAGTGAAGGAGTAAAGTCATGAAGACTGTTTGGTACAGACCAATCAAAACATGATATGTTTTGATAGGTTGGGCCTGATTGGTAAATTCAAACTCATGTGATTTAACCAATTGTTCGTAAAGAAGGTATAACAAATGGAGAGAGGTTTATTTTTACTACTCTGTGTCTTTATTTTACTGCATCATAATGAGCATGAAAATACAATGAAATTTGTCAACATCAAAGAAACAGATCATTTATATCCCTGACAAATTTCTGATCAGTCAAAGAACAATTACACCAATAATAACCACCACTGCAGTGCAAAATCAACCAAACCAAATGAACAAAAACCTTAACTCTAGGGTGGACTTCAGCGAACAAACTAGATGTGAAAACAGGCTCAGACTAGACTTCAAATATGCAGCACTTTTGCTCTTCAAAACTAAACACACTGCATGTATATACCAGGGGCTGTATTACAGAAACATCCTAACTCTTAAATCTTATCTGTTTAGTCTCCATGACAACTTCAGTTAGGACTGAATTTAGGACAGAAGCTATTACAGAACAACTGTTCTTAGGTTCTTGATCTTATCCATTATCTCCAGATAAGAAAACACTATTACAGAAACATCCTAACTAGACAAAATTTCCTAAATTCTGTTGTAACTGACAACCCCAGAGGTGTCTTGATGTCTGTTTCAACCGTCTGTTTCTATCGTTTTATGCAGTGAGGCAGTATAGTTCACTATAACTAGCACAATGAGTAGTTTAAGATTTCCTAACTTGAGATAAGATGCTGTAAGATAAGATAAAATTAGAATAGAATTAGCAAAATAGTGAAAAATCTTATCTTGATCTGATCAAATCTTAAGACAAAAAGATGTTTCTGTAATACGGCCCCAGGTACACAGATTACTTGTGTGAATGCAGATCTTATACATGGTGGAAAAGATTTATGAACTGGTAGTCTAATTAACTTTGATGTAAGACTAATATGAAAAGGCCAACAAACATTTTCAGGGGGTGCTAATAGGGCAGTCACTAACCACTTACCCAGTTCAGAAAGCTTCCTCTCCAATCCATCTCTCTCTTTCTGTAACTGGTCTCTGTCTGTAGTCATTTTGGTGTAACTGGTCTGTAAGTTGTCTCTCTCTGCAGTGAACATGAACCATGGCAATGTGATGGCAGTCAGCAGGAGAACACACAGCAGCCCCAGACGCACTGCAGCCAGTCTGTGGTTTCTGCTTCCTAATGTGTTGCTCTCTATGGAGAACAGATACAGAGATGCTTTAGTCATAACCAGTAATCAAGTTTTAAGCCCAGATAAACACTGACTAGGCTCTCTTGACTAGTGTGACCTCACTGGACACAACTGCATCTGCTGTTCTCCCTCCTTCTGTCGTCTGAAGCTGCCAACAGTAGTCACTGGTTCCCATAGACTTGATTCTCGCTCTCACTCTGCTATGCTTCTAAAATGTCTTATTGGTTAATCTAAGTACACTATATGGCCAAAAGTATGTAGATACTCCTCCTAATCATAATTCAGGTGTTTCAGCCACACTCACTGCTAACAGGTGTATAAAATCAAGCACATAGCCATGCAATCTGCATAGACAAACACTGGCAATGGAATAGGTCATACTGAAGAGCTCAGAAATGTTAAATGTGGCACTGTTACAGGAAGTCAATTTATGAAATTTCTGTTCTAAACTTTCCCAGGGAGGCTGAGCAGTGTGATACCCCATTAACTGGCACACACCCTCCAGTCCCCTTTCTTAAAATTAGGGACCACCACCCCAGTCTGCCAGTCCAAGGGTACAGTTCCCGAGGTCCACGTGACATTGTAGAGGTGTGTCGGCCACAACAGCCCCACAACATCCAGAGCCTTAAGCATTTCCAGGCAAATCTCATCAACCCCCAGTGCCTTGACACCAAGGGGCTTTCCAACAGTTTGTTGGCATGAAACAAATCAAGAAACGTTTTTTTTTAAAAAAAAACAACAGTAAATGAGTGTTTAATATCACTGGGGACTGTTACCATGGCAAGTCGGTTAACTGTCAAAGGTAACTCAAAGTGTACCTGCATGACAGCCACTTAATTATGTTTTTGCACTGATCATAAACGCAGAGGCCACAAAACTAGCCTAAAGTTCATCACAAAGAATACGTCCCATACAGCACAATACAAATAAAACTACAGTACAAATACTCACTGAATATGTGCCATAAAGTACAACAGTGTTATCCTACCTGTCTGTAGGATTCTCTTTGCATTGGTATCGTCCATCTCTGAGTTGGGGTCACAGCCTCTAACAGGATCTACACATTCATACACAACCACCACCATCTCGTCTTGATCTGCTCTGTTCAGCTTCTCAAAGCAGATCAGATCATCATAATCACTCTGAGACATCTCTAATCTATACAGTACTCAGTAAAACACTGAGCTGCTGTGTTTCTGTCTGTAGGAACGCTACTGCAGTGCTGCACTCTGTGTCTAGTTTAATCATTTTAGTTAAAGGAAGTGACCAAGCACTGAGAACTACCTTTACAAGTCTTTCCTGTGGCTGGAGGTGTGAAGAGCTCTTGAGCTCTTTCTTTAAGCTGGTTCTTACCCTCATTATTACATTTATGAGATATTATAATGAAATCTGAGTTTAGTTTTCTATGAACTGCATGTCTATATCTGTGGTTTTGAGTGGCCAGTCCATCATGTCACTGCACATTTCTTATTAGTGTTTTGTCTCAGTGCTTCACAGGCTGGTCAGTAGCAGCAGGTTGATTGTTTGCCCCTCTCATGAATTCACTGAAAACTCCAACTCTTTTATTCTGAAAATTCAGCCAGACATGTAAGCAGTGCTTCAAAACAAACAGATATTGTGAGCTAATGGGTGTCTTAAGGTGCACTGAGTTGCCTCTAGAGGGCAGTACATTTACATGTGTGCCTGCTTGGAGAAGCTGCAAGCTGAGTTCTATGGAAAATCTAACAATTTTACACAGTGCTAGACATTGTTGCTGCTCCTCTCAGTCAGACCAGTATAAGTGTGACCTCTGTGCTCAGTTCTACCCAAATTATGGACACCAGTTACAGATGAAGTTTTTCAGTTATTATTATTGTTCTCCACACTGCAAAGAGCTCAGCAACCACATACAACTGGCACAAATGTGTAAATGGTCAGCTGGTCAGCCCACAGCAGACACATGTCAGCAGAGATTCTATAATATAAGAGCAGTCTTGACACAGGGGAAAAAGTGTAACACCCGGCTTGACCAATCAAATCAGACCTCGTAAACTGTAAGCCAATCATATCCACCCATGTTACTCTGCTGTAGATAACGTTAATAGCTGTTGTGAGATCCTTTTCTGGGTTACTGTCTCTGATACTGTCTCCTAAAGGCTGTTGTGTAACGTGAACATACATTTTATAGACTGAAGATTGTGAAATAAAATTAAATTAGCAGAGCAAGGTTTTCTGGGTTGCCAGTTAAATATGTGCTATTTCGTTCTGCTTCAGCTCATTTTTTCTGGAAAACAATGGAAATTAGTTGGGTTGGAGAGTCAAGTTGTTTAAACAACCCTGTGTGAGTTTTGGGGAAATTCAACTGAGCTATTCAGACTGTTTTGTATGAAGTGCTGCTTTCTAGAGTAACTTACAGAGTCAGAATCACTCATAATGGTGGTGATGGGAACCAGACATTCAGAGCGTTTAAAAGCTACACCACATGGAGTCATTACTTCAGATGGCTACAAATACGCTGCCTGATGCCTCAGACACTGTTTTATTTATTTAGTTATTTATTTATTTTTAATCCTATGTGATCCACAAACATACCTGTGTGTCAGATTCAATGTTTTGATATGTTTCTCTATCTTTGCAATAACACAGCACAGAAATACAGTTCAAAATGTCCTTAATCTGTAAAGTCGCCCTTCAGATTCCACCTTATTGTGAGATCATACGTGACTCACATGCAGAGTTATGAGGCTCTGAAGAGGGGTTGAAACAAACATCATCTGCCTCTTACTGTGTGTAATCGGTCAATTCATTTGTACTACATACTACATTTAGTGTGAAACTCACCAATGGATGCTCAGCAAATCACTAAAACTTATCCATGTTGTATATTGGTATTTGTCTCTACAGTAATTCTTTATGTGGACACTAGCGCCCTCTACCTGATAATACAGAGACTGACATTAGTATTGTAGGTAAGGAAATACCAAGATTCTTCTGTTCAGTTGTGTCCCCCAAGCTATGTTGAATAAAGCAGCTGCCTGTTGCACTTTAAACCTCATTATTTTCCTTAAACATTTAGTAATAACATCATCCAAGACATAACAAGGTGCATGTTGTTCCAGTTCATTTGGTTAGCTAGAGTGTCTTTATTGTTTGTAGCAGACTTTAATGGCTTAGTAACCTCAGTGATTTATCTTAGTAAGTTGGCTATCAAGCTGAATTTCACCCATATTTAAAATGTTATCAAGCTCTTTAGAAGGACGTTGTTGTTGTTGTTGTTGTTGTTGTGGTTGTTGTTGTTGTTGTTGTTGTTGTTGTTATCCGAGTGGCCTGTTGATGGTCTTCATCAAATATGATCATCAGAGAGTATTAATATAATATTCCACTTATACCCTTCAGGGCTTCCGTAGTGACATGCACCCAACACCAAAGTTAGTATGCTGCCTTTGTGGTGCTGCACAGCCCTCATGTGACCTGCTGTGATATCATAAAACATCCTCTGACCCCCCAAAAAGGGTCCAGGTATGGGCCTTTCAAACATTTGTGCCCAGGTAGCCTATAACCTGATGATCCTGGTAGAAAACTGTGTGAAAAGAAAAGATTTTATCTGATGATGATGATGATGATGATGATGATGATGATCAGATACCTCATATTCCAGTAGTAGTGATCAAATCTCAAGGTAGATTCTTTTAGCCAATTTTGAGCAATTATAAAATGCTAACCAGTACATGACCAGCAAACACAGCTTTGAACAATTTAACACATATAAAATCATAATATTTTTACTAAAACGCAAAACATTTTCTTAATTGCAGAAAATGTGTGTTTCGGTAGTGACAGTTCATAATGTTAGTCGTTGGCCATAGTCGTTGGCCATTAGGGACAGGGATGCAGTCTCACTTCCTGCTCTAAAATGCAGGGCTCCGCCTGTGGACTGAAACTCGTAGTGTTTTGGTAGTGACATGAAAATGTGGGACAGCATTTTTGAAAAGTTTTTTATTTAAATATTAAATCTTGATAAATCAGTTTTCAAGAAACCAAAAAAGATCTTTTTTAAAAGAACATTGAAAAAATACCCACAGGATCACCACAGGTACTATTTGGGTGGGGGATCATTCTCAGCACTGCAGTGACGTAGTGATGGTGTGTTAGTGCGTGCTGCGCTGGTAGGAGTGGATCAGACACAGCAGTGCTGCTGGACTTGAATAGTGCACCAACCAAAAATATCCAGCCAACAGCATGATGAAGGACTTGAGGATGACCAACTGTGACTGTGCAGCAATAGATGAGCTATCATCTCTGACCTTACATCTACAAGGTGGACCAACAAGGTAGGAGTGTCTAATAGAGTGGACAGTGAGAGGACACAGTGTTTAAAAACTCCAGCAGTACTCCTGTGTCTGATCCACTCGTACCAGCACACACTAATACACCACCACCACATCAGTGTCACTGCAGTGCTGAGAATGATCCCCCACTCAAGTAATACCTGCTCTGTGGTGGTCCTGTGGGGGTCCTGGCCATTGAAGAACAGGTTGAAAGGGGGCAAACAAAAGTATACAGAAAAACAGATGGACTACAGTCTGTAATTGTAGAACCATTTATTTTACGTTTTCTGGGTTGCCAGTTAAATATGTGCTACTTTGTCCTGCTTCAGCTCATTTTTTTCTGGAAAACAATGGAAATTAGTATCAATAATGCTGATTTAACATCAGTGAGCCCACTTTGGGTTGGAGAGTCAAGTTGTTTAAACAACACTCTGTGTGAGTTTTGGGGAAATTCAACTGAGCTATTCAGACTGTTTTGTATGAAGTGCCGCTTTCTAGAGTAACTTACAGAGTCAGAATCACTCATAATGGTGGTGATGGGAACCAGACATTCAGAGCGTTTAAAAGCTACACCACATGGAGTCATTACTTCAGATGGCTACAAATACACTGCCTGATGCCTCAGACACTGTTTTATTTATTTATTTATTTATTTATTTATTTATTTTTAATCCTATGTGATCCACAAACATACCTGTGTGTGAGATTCAACGTTTTGATATGTTTCTCTATCTTTGCAATAACACAGCACAGAAATACAGTTCAAAATGTCCTTAATCTGTAGAGTCGCCCTTCAGATTCCACCTTATTGCGAGATCATACGTGACTCACATGCAGAGTTATGAGGCTCTGAAGAGGGGTTGAAATAAACATCATCTGCCTCTTACTGTGTGTAATTGGTCAATTCATGTGTTCGACTACATTTTGTTGGAAACTCACCAATGGATGCTCAGCAAATCACTAAAACCTATCCATGTTGTATATTGGTATTTGTCTCTACAGTAATTCTTTATGTGGACACTAGTGCCCTCTACTTGATAATACAGAGACTGACATTAGTATTGTAGGTAAGGAAATACCAAGATTCTTCTGTTCAGTTGTGTCCCCCAAGCTATGTTGAATAAAGCAGCTCCCTGTTGCACTTTAAACCTCATTATTTTACTTAAAGATTTAGTAATAACATCATCCAAGACATTACAAGATGCATGTTATTCCAGTTCATTTTGTTAGCTAGAGTGTCTTTATTGTTTGTAGCAGACTTTAATGGCTTAGTAACCTCAGTGATTTGTCTTAGTAAGTTGGCTATCAAGCTGAATTTCACCCATATTTAAAATGTTATCAAGCTCTTTAGAAGGACGTTGTTGTTGGTTTCCGAGTGGCCTGTTGATGGTCTTCATCAAATATAATCATCAGAGAGTATTAATATAATATTCCACTTATACCCTTCAGGGCTTCCGTAGTGACATGCACCCAACACCAAAGTTAGTATGCTGCCTTTGTGGTGCTGCACAGCTCTCATGTGACCTGCTGTGATATCATAAAACATCCTCTGACCCACCAAAAGGGTCCAGGTATGGGCCTTTCAAACATTTGTGCCCAGGTAGCCTATAACCTGATGATCCTGGTAGAAAACTGTGTGAAAAGAAGAGATTTTATCTGATGATGATGATCAGATACCTCATATTCCAGTAGTAGTGATCAAATCTCAAGGTAGAGATTCTTTTAGCCAATTTTGAGCAATTATAAAATGCTAACCAGTACATGACCAGCAAACACAGCTTTGAACAATTTTACACATATAAAATCATAATATTTTTACTAAAACACAAAACATTTTCTTAATTGCAGAAAATGTGTGTTTCGGTAGTGACAGTTCATAATGTTCCAC